TACGTGAGAGGCTATAAGCACTTTTTTTTTTTTTTGGTACGGGGGATTGAACTCAGGTCCTTGCGCTTGCAAGGAAGGCCACCAAACCACTGAGCTAAATCCCCGGCCCATCACATTTAACTTTTATTAAGTAATGGCACAGTGTTTTCCAGAATGGATCCCTCAGTTTATCCTCACACAAGGAGTGTGTAAGAATAGCAATCACTCTTAGTTTTCCTTGCAGCATTTATGGCCAGTGTACCTGAAATTGAATGTGACCTGGAAAGTATAAAGTAGTGAGTCATTGTAGTTTTAATTTTCTTTTTTTAAAAATTTAGTTTATTGGTACATTTTTAGGTATACAGTACAGTTACATTCATTATTGGGATCTTGTACCTTTACATGACAGGTCTTGCTTCTCATTTTTTCCCCTTGTCCCTGCCCTCCCTTCACCCCCTCTTCCCCTCCCTGTTTACAAACCCTTTATTTCCATTTTTTCACTTTCTCATACTTTTTTCTTTTCCCTTATTCCCTTTCCCCTACCCTTCCCACTTTCCCTATACCTTTAGCCCTTTTCTTCCTATTTCACATTGTCAATTATCTCATTAGGATCTTATGTATTATTACACCAGAGAAACTATTCCGTATTTATACATGTGTGACTTATTTACTTCACTTAGGAGTATATCCTCAAAATGTATCCATTTTCCTATGAATGAATCTAATTTCTCATTCTTTATGGCTGAGTAGTATTCCATTTTATAGAAAAACCACATCTTTTTTATCCAGTTTCCAACTGATGGGCAAATGGGCTGTTTCCAAGTTTTAGCTATTACAAACTGTGCTGTTATAAACATAGATGCACATATATCACTGTGATAGCATTCTTTTAATTCTTTTGGAAAGATACCCAGCAGAGGGATGGCTTGATCGAATGGAACCTCTAGTCCCAGCTCTTTGAGTTATCTCCATATTGATTTCCATAGTGGTTACACCAGTCTGCAGTCACACCAACAATGGAGAGGGTTCCTTTCTCCCCACAACCCCGCCAACATTTGTTATTGTGTGATTTCTTGATAGTAGCCATTCTTTCTGGGGTGAGTTGGAATCTCAGTGTTTTTTTCATCTGCATCTCTCGAATGACCAGTGATGTGGAGCATTTTTTCATATATTTACTTCCTGCTTTTACTTCTTTGTCTGAGAAATGTCTGTTCATTTCAGATGCTCGTTTTTGAATCGGCTCTTGTCAATATTTAGTGTTTTCAGACCTTTCAATTGTGACTATTCTGGTGATTATGAAGGGTTATCTCAAATGTAGTTTTCAGTTTGTATCACAATAGTCAGTATTGATATTCTTCTTTTCATGTGTTCATTGGCTATATTTTATCTCATTCTGTGGCTTGAAGAAATGTCAACTAATAAATTTATTTTTTCCTTTGTGTTCTTGGATGGTAAAAGAATTATTTGCCTATCTCAACATTACAAAGGTTTTCTTCTAGGTGTTTTATGGTTTTACCTATTATAATTAGTCTGTGGTCTATATTGAGTTAGTTTTTACTTTCTGTATGAGAGGTTAAAAATTTTTTAATGTATCTCAGTTACTTTTCTTGTAACTGAGACAAAATACTTGACACACAAAGTTAAAGGAGGAAAGGTTTATTTATCTTACAGTTTGTAGAAGTTTCAGTCCTGGCTTCAATGTAGGGTGGCATAGCAAAGGGGCATCATAGAGAAATAGCTCATGGTAGGCAGAAGGCATTAAAGCAGTGAAGCAGCAGCAGCAGCAGCAGACTACTTCTTCCTTTTATTTTTTTCAGCCTAACCATCCTTTGGATAGTACCATCCTTGTCCAGGATGGGCCTCCCCTTTATCCACACCCAGAATTATGCCAAACTATCCAGTGGAGTGATTTAGTAATCACACACTCTTAATTCCAGCACCACACACCCTAAATCCAGCCACCTCTGAAAAGCCCCACCTATGACTACATGAGGCTTTGGGGTGACATCTAGACACATGCCATAACAATATGGAAAAAAATTTTAATATGGCTAGGCAGTTAGTCTAGCATCATTTGCATAAAAGACCATGCTTCATGTATAACATAATTGTTACAACACTGTACTTCCATTTTCTCCCTCCCATCCTCTGTACTATGATTCCATACATCTGCCTTTTACATAGAATATATACTATCTGATAGTTTGTGGTTATTGTAGCATCAATAACTATGTTTTTTAAAAAATTTTTAATGAAGAAAAACCTTTTTTGTGTGTAAATACCATTTCTGGCACTTTCTGTATACAGATTTAATTTTTCCATCTGTCATCCATCCTTCTTATAATAGAAGAACTCCCTTTAGCACTTATTGTAATGCAGATCTGATAGTGATAAATTTATTTTATTATTTATGCATCTGATATTGTCTTTTTTTTTTTTTTTTTTTTGAGACAGGGTCTCACTATGTAGTTGAGACTGACCTGGAACTCACTCTGTAGCCCAGGCTGGTCTTGAACTCACAGTGATACTCCTGTCTCAGCCTTCCGAGTGCTGGGATTACAGACGTGAGCCACCACGCCCAGCCTGATATTGTCTTTATCTCATTCTAGTGATTGATTGATTACAAAACATGAGTTATTTGTGTTGTTAAGGGCCAGAGATTTAGCTCAGTGGTGCCACCTGCCTCACAAGCACAAAGTCGGGAGTTCGATCCACAGCACCAAAAAAAGAAATGTGTTTTTAATGTGACACCCCTATAGTCCCAGCTAGTCCCAAGGCTGAGGAAGGGGGATTGCACATTCAAGGCCAGCCTGGGCATTTTGGTGAGACTCTGTGTCAAAATAAAAAGAACTAGGGATAAAACTCAGTGCTCCCTGCATTCAATAGCTAGTACCAAGAAAACAAACAAAAAATATTTACTGATCTCTAATTACTTTGTTTTCAGAGCATATACTCTGTTATTTTAATCCTTTTCATATATTGAGACCTGTTTTATCCAGTATGTGCCCTATCATGGTAGCATTCTGTGGATGTTTGAAATGTATGTGTCACTGCTTTTTGATGAATTATTCTATAAGTCTCATTGGTTTTTTAATGTTGTTCAAACTCTGTGTATTTACCGATCTTGACTACTTGTAGTAATTGTTGCAGTGTGTAATGTGTCTCTTCATTTTCTGTTGGCAGCTTTTAAGATTTTTTTCTGTATATTGGCTTCTTATGATTTGATTATGATATATGTACTTGATGTGGTTTTCCTTGTTGTTGGTTTTACTCCCGTTGAAGATTCATCAGTCATCTTGGAGCTATGTTTTATAATTAAAAGGTTTTTACTTTTGAGGCATTATTTCTTGAAGTTTTTATTTTGTTTTGTTTGAGACAGCATCTTGGTATGTAGCCCAAGCCAAACTGGAACTCACAATGTTAGCCCAGGTTGCTTTGAATTTGCAATACTCCTGTCTCAGCCTCCAGTGTGCTAGGATTACAGGCATGTGCCACCATACCTGGTTTTTTAAAAAAAATTTTCTTCCCACTTCTCTCTTTCTGAAACATCAACTATATGTATGTTACACATTTGTCAGGGATTCATTCATTTTCTTTCTCTTTTTTTTCTCTGTGCATTTCAGTTTGAATCGTTTCTTTTGCTAGTCTTCAACTTTTCTAGTCTTTGCTTCTGGAATGTCCAACTGGTCAATCCTGTCCATTTTTTTGTCATCTTTTCAAAATCTCTAAAAGTTGTAGTTGGTAATTTTTAATATATTTTTAAAATATCTTTTATTTTACTCATTGTTTTTGTTCTTTAAAGTATCTAATAGCTAAAATCCTCTGTTAATCCTATATTCTCTGCCATTTATAGAGCCATAAATGATATATTTTTTTGTTTTGTTTTGGTACTGAGGATCAAACTCAGGACATTGCACTTCGGAGGTAGGGGGAAGCACCACTGAACTAAATCCCTGGCCTTATAAATGATATTTCTTTAAATATTTGAGCATACATGTTTGTATTGTTTTTCATGTCAATTATGGGGCTTATATTTCTGGATTGTTGTATATCTATGAATTTTCTGTTACAGTATACAAAATGGGTTTGTTCATTTTATGATGTCAAATTCTAGATTTCGGGGCCAGGTGTGGTAGCACATGCCTACAATCCCAGTACTTAGGAGGCTAAAGCAGGAGGATTGCCACAAATTTGAGGCCAGCCTGGACTACATAGTGAATTTAAGGCCAGCCTGAAATACATAAGTAAGACCCTGTCTCAAAAAAAAATTTTTTCCCCTAGATTTTGTTGTCTTCCTTTAAAAAGGGTTGGACACGGCTGGGGATTTAGCTCAGTGGTTCCACCGCCTGCCTCACAAGCGCAAGGTCCAGAATTTGATCCCCAATACCAAAACAAAAAAAGGGTTGGACTGTAGTCCCGGCAGGAATTAAATTACATGCAATTTTAAAATCTTTCATAGCTTGTTTTGAAGGCTTGTTTTGTTTTGTTTCTTTGTTTGGTTGGTTTTTGGGGGTTTGGTTTTGTTTTGATACCAGGGATTGAACTCAGGACCTTGAGCTTGTGAGGCAGGTGTCGGAACCCAAGCTAAATCCCTGGCCCCTTGTTTTTAAGCTTTGTACGAGTAGACTTACAGTACCCTATAGCAATAGACTTAGGCCTGATGATAAAGAAGCATCATTCGCTTGGGGTCTCCTTCACATATTGCCCATTTCAACACACATTCTAACCTCTGGAAGATGTTTAAGCAACTCAGGCATCATCTGATCCTTTGTGAGCTGCAGAGATATTCAGTTTTTGTTTCCTTAGTAGTTCTGTTATAGCTAAATAGGCCAATAATCATCCAGGTTCTTGTGTACAATGCAGAGAGAACTGCCAAAAAGGAAAAAGGGGCCAACATCTCAGGATTTCAGAATTTAAAGGCCAGACAGTTGTTTTCTAGTACCTCCCACTGAATCTCGCTTGGCACCCACGCTGTAGCACCTAGGCCCTCGCGATCTTCTAGGCTCATGCTATTTTATTTTTTACCTCTCTTAGGATAACGGAAGCAGGAATAATGGATAGGTATTGTTTAGGGTTAAATGGAAGGAAAGGAGTGACTCAGCTCCTTTGTTTCTAACTATATAGTCCTTGAGTTTTCTTCTTTTTTTTATAGTTTTGAAACATTACATTTTTGTCACTTCTCATGGTGTTATTGGGTAGCTCCTTCTAAAAGTGGCTCACCACCAGGTTTTGTGTTGCTCACCTCTCTTTCTGGAGTACATTCCATGTTCTTCTCTGGAACAAAGAATTGAACAAAATGAGCAAAAAGCAGCGGGGGAAACTTTACATTTAAAAGTAAAAGTGAGGAGTGAAGGAAAGACTGGCTTTACAGAGTGAGCTTAGGGCAAGGAAAAATCAAGATAAAAGAATGCCCTGAAGGACACAGGGTGAGCTATGGTGAGGAAAGCCAAGTTATAAAGCTCTTCTTGGCATCTGTGTCCAAATCTCAAAGAAACCTGTGAGAACTTCCACATGCAGTCCTGAGAGGTGATGCACCAGGTCAGGCTGATGTCAGGTCCAGGCCATCCTATTGAATACCTGCTGGAGTTATCAGGGAGAAGTCTGTGTGCAGATCCTGCACAGGAGTTCCCAGATCTTGTAATGAACAAGTCACATCTTCTTCCCTAGCCAGCTTTGCCACACCCTACTCTCCTATCTCAATAGGATTTGCTGTGTAAAATAACCTCATTATAATGTCTAATATGTGAGCCCTAGAGGGGGGCAGTCAAAGTAATATTTTTTTCCTGCTTAAAAATTTTTCAGAAATAACGTTTAAATATATGAACTGTCATTTGTAATGCATAAAAAAGTAATTTATTCAGGAATTTGTAAATAGGGGGGTTACAGTCTATAAAAGTTAGCAGATTTTTGAAATTATCTCCTTTTTCTTCCATCTCACTTTTTCCTATTTTCTTTTGTTACTCTCATGGCCACCTTTTTTCTTTCTTTTTTTTTTTTTTTTTTTTTTTCCCCTTTTTTTTTTTTTTTTTTTTTTTTTTTTTTTTTTTTTTTTTTATCCAGATTTTTTCTTCATTCTTTTTTGTATCTCCTTTCCTCTTGTTTACTACTTTTGCTAATAGCTTAGAAGCCTCATCTATTTTTGTTACTTTAATATTAATCTTCATGAACATTATATTATTGTTTATACTGCTTAGATCTGTTTTCTGAGATACAGCCCTGAGTTTTCAGATTGTATTTATGGAGCAGTTTTATCCATATTACTCTGTTAACTCACATATAATATACTTAAAACCTGAAGCATTATATTTTCCCCAAATGATCTTTTCTTTTATCATCTCCTTTCTCTCAGTAGCTCCCAATTCTTCCATGAAGTCATTCATTTCTCAAATCATTTCATTTTGTTTGGCTTCCTTTTCTCCTGTAATTACCACTATAATTACATCTTCTAAGTGCTTTGCATGTCTTTTTCTTCATTTTGTTTTCTATTGCATCTATGCATTCATTTAAACAATGCTTACATGGTGCTACATGCCTGTGATTCCAGCATTATGGGTAGCTAAAGTAGAAGGGTCAAAATTTTGAAGCCAAACTGAACAATTTAGTGAGAACCTATCTCAACGTTAAATAAAATAGGCTTGGGCCAAGGATTTAGTTCAGTGGCACTATGCCTGCCTCGCAAGAGCAAAGTCCTGAGGTTGATCCCCAGTACCAAAATAAATAAATAAAATAAATAAATAATAGGCCAGGGACATAGTGTAATACAAAGGGCCTGGGTTCATTCGTTCCCCAGTATTGGGGAAGGGGAGTGTTTGAAATTCCATGTGTGTTAAGATTTTTTTCCCCCATCAAGAAGGAAATATATGGTATGTTTTCCAGGTGATTTAGAATATAGTGCCCAGCACAACAAGCCTCAGCAAACATTTATGAAATAACTCATGAAGTAATATATTGGATCGGACCATATGAACTTACATTTTTAGAGGTCAAACTGGTAAAATGCTACTAATCATGTTCAACAAATACATTAATAATAATCATATCAGCCAATATGGAGGGAAAAAATACAAATACTAAGTTTCTCCTTAATATTGTATCAATGTTGTACATAATTTCTTCTGTTAGAATATAAAACTTAACTTTTCTTTTCTTTGCCTACCAGGAAACACGAAATTACCCAGAATCATACCCACAGCTGCCAAGGGATGAAACAGTGGAGAATCCTCATCTCCAGAAGCACATTTTGGAATTAGCATCCATTCTGGATGTTCGAAATGTCTTCTTTGAAAATACCATAGATGACTATTAGAACACAAACCTTCTGGTTGAAACAATTTTTCATTTTCCACAGATTTTAAATGGTGCAGTTTTCTAATGTGACAACAGACATGTAGTGTGTTACTTAGTTTTTATTTTTTAAATTTAGGACGACCACCATTTTAAAACCAAACTGAAAAAAAATGTTGAGACTTTTAGGGTAACTTTTAAAATGCAGTCTTTCAAGTCTTTTAAAAATTCAATTAATCTTGGAATTTTTATTTTTGGGTTTTGATTACCTCCAACATCCAGTCCTATACTTAAATAGTCACTGTTCTCACCCTGAGAAGTGTATTTTTGTATGAGAAAAATCCAACTTCTGTATTTGGAACCTTAAATGTCTGGATTTGGAAAACATGTAATTGTTCATAATGATGAAACTGGCCAGCATGGACTACTGAAAAGAAAGAATAGTGTCCTTCCATAATATTTCTTTTCATTTCAAATCAGTAGGTAGAAAATTGTAGAAAAATGTGTGCTGTTTTTTAAGTGTGATTCAAGCAGTTCATGGAATACCTTAAATAACGTCAAAAATTCAGAAGTGGTTTAGGATTGATTTGCATGTGAAAGCTAAATCTTTTAGTTGGGACTTGAGGTGATAAGTGAGTATTGTGTTATCATGAGATTTATTTGCATATTTTGTTTTCTATTAACTCTTTCTTGGAAATGAAAAAAACAAGTTTTAAATATTTCAGTAAGAAAATCAAGTTGTTGGTTTCCTAATACAATGTCTTTGGGAGGAATTCTACTTATTAACTCAATTTAAGGTCCAGGGATGTAGCTTGGTGGCACCGTGCCTGCCTCACAAGCGCCAAGTCCTGAGTTTGATCCTCGGTACAAATAAATAAATAAACAAACAAATAAATAAATAAAACAATGATGATGATGATGATGATGATGATGATGAGATAGCTACCTCTTGGGATTATAACAGTTTATAAGATCGAATTTAAAAACTGCCTGGATTGATAACTGTGACATATACAGTTTCTTCTTGCCTAGTTCAAATTTATGGGACTTCAAAATCAGAGATATTAATTTTGATTGAGGATAACCAAATTTTATGAAACCTAAAGCAAAAGTTGATTTTGCATTGAAAATTTGGAAATAAGGTTTGTGAAAACTCCCTGTACTTAGTTATTTTATATTCATATCCAAGTTTTCTATTATTTTAAGTACAGTTTAAAATACAAGAAAGGGGTTTTTGTGCTTTATACTTTTATCCCCTTTGTAGCTTCACAGGCACTAGCTAGGAAGGATTTGCCCCTCCTCCCCACCAGGGATGGAACTTCCAACCTTGCACTTGTGAGGCAGACAGCGGGCACCACTGAGCTAAATCCCCACCCTCCCTATCTTTTAATTGCACTCCATTCAAGTTCAGAATTTTTTTTTCAAGTTCAGAAATCTTACCAATCAAAAGGCCTTCTCTCTAATTTTCTGTGTAGGCTCACATTTTACTTGTGGCAGTCCCAGGGGAAATGAAGTGATTGCTCTTAATACCTCTTTCCTATGGTCTATAGGGAGGTTTTACTGTAATATTTTTAACTTAAGCTTCATTTCTGGCCTAGAGAATAATTTGGGTCTATTATTCATATACCACCTTAAATCTGCAAATTTTTCATCTAAAGTCTTGAAATTATTGCTCTTGGGTTTAGGGGCCTTAGGGTATTTACATTTTAAAAATTATTATCATCATTTGCTCTTTCAAATGGCATTTCAGGGGGCTGGGGATCTAGCTTAACAGCACCTGCCTGGCAGGAGGTCCTGAGTTCGATCCCTGGTACCCCCCAAATGTACACACACACACACACACACACACACACTCATCCATTCAATATATATATTCATTTCATTCAAATGGTATTTCAGAAAGCTTGGGAAGAGCTTTTAAAGATTTCTTTTTCTGGTGGCTTGTTTTACAGTTTCCAATGGATTGTTTTCCTTTTCTTCAGTATCTTAACAAGTCTCATAGGTTTCCTTTCCTACCAGTGTTCACTGGACTGCATCAGTAGCCCATCCTGAGTTGTCTGGCCTCTTAATCCAGTTTCCCTAAAGTTCTCTTCCAGTTATTATCCTACTAGCACATATTTTCCTGTTTTTTGATGTTTAAAATGATATTTATTGTCCTGAGCTTTTATCCTCACCTCCTAAGCATAAGGAGTACCAGTCTGAGGACCAGAAGACCTGAGTTCTAATCTTGGCTTTCCTAGTAAGTAACATTGTGCCCTTTGACAAGTGTCTTCTTCTTCTGCTTTTTAGCACTCCCATGTGTAACATGAAACAGTTGACCCAAGGTCCTTTACAGTTCTTTTAGTCTACAGCTTTGACTCTTGGTTCCAAAAATCGTGATTTCTCCACTCTTCCCCACAGGAAAACTAGTTTCTGTGTTTTTATTATATACAACATTCTTTTCAAGATCATGATAATTGAAGTGATTGTTAAAGAAAATATCTGGGTCCCACTTAGCTGTTTTAGAGACTATTTCAGAGATAGACTATCCTGCAGAAATTAAGAGCATTCATGATAAGAAACAGGTCTATCTTAGGACTCACAATAGTAATTTAGATTATGACATAGGCCCTTGAGCTGATAGTAGTGAAATTCCTTACTGGTGGGTAGAGATCTAAAGTGGACTGATGTCAAGTTGAATCTTCAAAGTTTAGGGAACTATGCTTGAAAATTCTAAAATACTATTGTTTCATTCATGCCTTCAAAAAAAATATTCATTGCACACAACCACTATATTCACATGTTTTCTGAATGTGGAGAAGCAAATAAAATAGACTTAAAAATTCTAATCTTTTGAAGCTTACATTCTCAAGGAAAAGTCAGACGATAAACAGAAATTAGGTTTATGTTAAAAAGTGGTAAATGAGCCTGGGATTTAGGTCAGTGATGTTGCCACCTTGCAAATGCAAGGTCCTGAGTTTGATCCCCAGTACCAAAACAAGTGATAAACAGGATGAAGAAAATTTGAGCCTGGGAAGGAAATCTTTCTTTGTGTTTGAGAGAACAATGTTTAAAAGAGGTATCAGAGCCAGACCTAGTAGCATAATATGCCTGTAATCCCAGCACTCTAGGAGGCTAAGGCAGAAAGACCTCAAGTTTGGGTCCAGCCTGAGCAATTTAGCAACATAGTACGATTTATCTCAGAATAAAAAGAGATGTAGAGATGTAGCTCAGTGTGCAAAAAAAAGGGGCGGGTGGTAGACAAATCAGAATATGTGTCATTGAGAAAGTCACATTTACTCATACACTTTGTATTTTTGTATTGTCTGTTTCTTTACTTTTTATTGTGGTACTTTGAAGCACATACAGAGTTTAATGATCACTGCTTTTACTCTTCACCCAGCTTGTATGGTTTCAGGCATTACATTAATCACAGAAGAAATGTAAAAGGACAGTCACCCACTCAATGAACTCAGTTTGACAAGGGCAGATTTTGTGTTTTAATTATTTACCAGGCTTCCTTCTAATTATACAAATTTCAAACCCTATTTAATTTTAGAATTCATAAAAACTTAAATATTGGCACTAAGAGCACAGCAAAGCAATGAGAAACAACTTTTTCATTTTCAAATTCTCCGTGGAGATTCTGGTGCAGTCAGTGATCTCTTAATAATCTCTGCAAAGAAGCTGGGCATAAAGGTGCACATCTGTAATCCCAGCTTCATGGGAGGCTTCGGAAGGAGGATCATGAGTACAGGGCCAGCCTGGGCAGCTTAGCAAGACCATGTCTCAGAATAAAAGTTTTGAAAGTCTGGGAATAGAGCATTTACTTAGCATTAATAATGCCCTGTGTTCAATCTCTAATACCAAAAAAAAAAAAAAGAGAGAGGAAAAAAAAAGTAAAAAATATTCTGTATATGAATTAGGAAACAAAACTGCAAAAAGTCAATTATACACAAAACAAAATTAAACTGGGGCTGGGGATTTGGCTCAGTGGCACCACACCTGCCTCACAAGTGCAAGATCCTGAGTTCAATCCCAGGTACAAAAAAAAACTAAACGGGGTTTTCTCTTTCTTTACCCTTACATTTCTAAAGTTGATAAAATAACTGTATTCCCATTTTACAGAAGAGAAAGCTTCATTCTCCAAAACTGATTATTTGTGTAATGGTAGAAGTAGAGCTAAAATGCAGATCTCCCAATCTCAGCCCAGTCTTCCCAGTAGCTCAGACTGTTTTCTGTAATGAGCAAGAAAGAAATTATTAAAAGTTTACATCTTGGCATAAAACATCATAGTATTCTTTTTTTCTTTTTCTTTTTTTTTTTTTTTTTTTTTTTTTCCGGGGGTTTAACTTAGGTCCTTTCTTTTTTTTTTTTTTTTTTTTTTTTTTTTTTTTTATACCGGGGATTGAACTCAGGTCCTTGTCCTTGTGCTTGCGAGGCAGGCAGCGGAACCACTGAGCTAAATCCCTGGCCCCATAGTATTCTTTTTACTCACCAATTATTGAAATCAATGATTCAGTCTAGAAAGTGTTTCTTATAAAAATCTAATTTTAGGATATATTTCTTTGTATATGTGTGCTTTCCTTGTAGAAAGTGGTGCTCTCAAAATCTCTCAAAGCACAGAATTTAAATTACCAAATTGAATGTTTTGAGATTATCGAAGCAAACTGCAATCCAGTTTTGTTTGATGTTTTCCTGATACAAGATCTGGGTTTTATTTTATTTTCCGCCATTTGTGGCTTCTGCCCTTTATTTTCATCGTGCAACTGAGTCCCTTGAAACAAATTAAGTGATAACTGTATAGAATTTAATTTTGATAAGGGGGAAAGTGAAGCCAGGAGAGGTGGCATATGCCTGTAATCCCAGCGCTCTGGAAGGCTGAGGTGATAATAATTGCAAGTTTGAGCCAGCCTGGGCAGTTTAGTGACTTTGCCAGACATTGTCTCAGAATAAAAATTAAAGGGCTGGAGATGTGGCCCACTGCAAAGACTATGGGTTCAGTTCCTAGTACTGCTGAGGGAAGCGGGATGCAAGTCAAATTTAGAGCTTTCTTTAGTATTTTCCTCCAAATTTGTTTTCTGGCCTGTATGATTTATTATCTTTGGACCCAATTGAAAAATCTTATACTTAGTTATCCATAGAAACTAGTAATCAGCCTGCTACCCAGAGAATATTCTGGACTAGAAATACAGTAAGGTACCAAGATCTGCAAACTTGAAACTGCCAGTAGTTCAGAATCACTTGCCCACATTCCATGAGTAAAGGATTTGATATGGATATGGATGCTTTGAGTTGCTTGGTGACATTTGCGGTGTTTATTTTCCTGTGTGTTTATTTGGAGAATATAGAGTATTTACACTGAGGGTTTTTCTTTTTTTTTCTTTTTTTTTTTTTTTTTTTT